AAAGCTAAGCAGAATCAAGACAGTAATCAAGATAGTAATGGAAATGGTTCTGCCAAGATGTCTTATTACAAGGACATTGATGAGATTTTGAGGGAGAGGAGCATGAATGAAGCTAATTACAAGAGTACCACCCCTCCTGCTGCTGCTGCAGGCGGTTCCAAAGTTGAATCCTTTTTGCATTTCCCAGATAAAGGTTTTCTTTTTCTCGATTTTCGGTGTGAAAATGATGTAACTTTGCAATCTTGGAAGTGGGTTTTGTTCAATTTGTTTGTTGATTTGTGTTATTTGAGCTCTTTGCTTTGAACTTTGAAGGTTAGTTTCTTTATGCATAATACTGATTAGGGCACGTTGAAGTGAGAATTGGTGGAAATAATTGTGATTTCAATTGTGAATTAACTTTTTAATTTATGTGTTTGGTGCTGTTACAAGCACCATCCCTTATTGTGTCTTGATTCTCTTGAATCTGGTTCTTCTTGTGCATTTATGCTTAATTATTTGATCGCTGTTGTTCTTTTATCTTGCACTGTATTTTGTTAATTCAAACGGGTCATCGGAAATGAATGATATGGTGAATTGTACTCTTTTGACTTAGGTGCTCAAGCACACTTGCTTGAGTCCTTTTGGATGGTTTCATATCGTTGGCAAGAAATGGGGAAAAAGTTCAACTCTTGAGAGCGGGAATGTGTTCGATTTGTCTGTTTCTTCTTCTTTTAACGTTGTAGTGGTGTTTGGCTGCCGGGAATACTAAAAATGGATGAGAATGTCTTGAGCATTTTTTCTTTGTCAGTTCCAATTAGGAAGTGTTTCCTCGTATCTGTTCGATCTTGACAATTCACTATCTCTGCATCTGGTGTAGATTAATTTTGAGAATCGCACTCGATGTATGCATGTCATATGAATTAAGATTGATGCCTTTTGAAGTCATACAAATTTTTAATGAATTAATTGTTTTGCCAAATGTTCACGAAAGTAGCATCAATTTCAATAACTTCTGAATTTATTCGGCTTCTGCAGTTCTCGATGACCCCGGAATTGCTTTTGGACCTGTGGAAGGTAAGTTTTATTATTGTCATGTCCTTCAAACTGTTCCATTATCTCAATATCTTTGAACTTGTGATCAATTTTGGTCAATAGTCACAACCTATGATACACGGACACGTACATGTCGGATACGCCGACACACGATTTTTAAGAAAAGTATAGACACGACACATCATCAACACGTTGATTAAATTTTTAAAAATTCTTTATTTATATAGTATAAATTTAGTTTTATACTTGTTATTAATTTTTCTTGTTGAAATCTTTTAAACATGAGTACCTATTTGTTACTTGCTAATAATTTTGAATTAACAATATATAATATTTTTAATANGTTACTTGCTAATAATTTTGAATTAACATTTCTAATATAAAAAGAAATATGATTACGGCAGGGTGTCTGAGAAGTGTCGGTATCGACTCGTGTCGGACACGGACACGCTACCCTAATTGAAGTGTCCGTGCTACATATGTCACAACTACTGTTGTAATTATATTTCACCTTGTAGCAAAATTAGGTAGTAAAGCTCTAGATAATTACGTTGTTAAAATATTTGTTGTCGTTATGTCTTATGAATTTGTTGCGTAAAGAAACTCTATTTTTATTTCCGAGGTCTGCTAGTGCCATTTGCTTGGATTTCTGCGTGGCCACCTTTGCTCCATGTATTCTATGCGTAACGCGTGTGCACCTCATTTAATGAAGCAACCAGTCTGGCTTCCCTTGTTAATCTAACTTAAAAAATTTCTCTTGAAAAAGAAAAATAATAGCAGACCAGCTTTGGATGAGAGAGAGAGAGAGATGGGTACTTGGAAATATTAATTTTAGGAAGTGAATTGTTTATGGAGTTATCATTGCGTGTTCGAGATTATTAATTATAGAGTTGTTTATAAGCTGTCCACTGTACAAGCTCACTGGATTAGCATGATTTTGTGCTGTAATTTCCCTTAGATTTTGATACTGTATATTTCTTAGTAGTGGCTGGGACGCTCCTTTCACACCACATGCCATTTGCGGCTTAGAATTTCATTCTTTACTCTTTCCTTTTATGCATGATGGTTGGTGGAACACTATAGGTCTAAGACAAAGTTTGATTAGTTAATTTCATAATGTGAATAAATGCTAAAATTAGGTGAAAATGGAAACTTCTTAAGAAAGTTCTCTAAATTGATATAATCCAATATTGTGTAGTGCTCTCCGATCTTCATTTCAGCATGTTTCTGGCATGTGTCTGTTTAACTTCATGAAGGTTTCTCCATCCACGCTTCTGAATTATTTGGCCATCATATCTTGCACTTAATTTCTTATGCGTTGCACGTTATGTGTCTGTTTAACTTCATGAAGGTTTCTCCATCTACACTTCTGAATTATTTGGCCATCATATCTTGCACTTAATTTCTTATGTGTTATACACTCTTCTAATATTGCCAATTTTTAAGGGAATTATTTTTCTTATTTTTGCTAAAACCTTGGGATACAGCTAATGGCAGGTCAACAGTAAATTTAGAAAGACGTTCGGATCATGATGGGCATCCTCTTGCTATCACTGCAGCTGATGCTGTTGGAGCAAGTGGAGTTTCTCCTTGGAACTGGAGAGAAACTTCTGGAAGTGGTCAGTCTTTGAATTACGTGTAGAGTTTGGGAACGTTGTTCCATCACGAGATATTATTTTTCTGGAGCATTATGATGCAGGGAAAATTGCTCCCCATGCTATGGCCCCAATAGCAAATTTATTAAAACTTTTAAAAAGGAGCAATATAGTTCCATACCTTCTACTATAGTAGCAATGACAGAAGCCTTACAAATCTTCCTTAAATCGTAACCATTATGTGACCCGTGCATGTACATATTTGTGATGCTAATGAAATTGTGCCAAGAAATTTGAACTGAGGCATGGCCATTTATAGTCACCTGTTTGATGAAATGATGAAAGTTTGACGTATTAATTTATGGTTTGGACATCTATGTTCCTTGATTAATATTCTTTATTTGACAGGTGAACAAGTTCACTCCTATGATGGAAGGGTGATAACGGTGAAATTGGGGGATTACACAAAGAGAATAGGGATCGATGGCACTGCCGATGCCATCAAGGAAGCCATCAAATCTGCTTTTAGGTTGAGGACAAAGCGTGCATTTTGGTTGGAAGATGAAGATAATGTAGTTCGAACACTTGACAGAGAAATGCCCTTGGGAAACTACGCTCTTCATGTTGATGAAGGTAGAGTCTCTTGTAACATCTACAATTGTAAACTTGTTTGGCTAAGCTTAAAAAGTTCACTTATAACTAAATAAGTATTAAAATAATTTGAATTTTTGATTTGTTAAAGATGGAAATAAGTTATCTTCACTTGATTGTGTCTACATAAAAGGATTATTGCTTATAGGCACACGAATGGGGACATTAGTAGCCGTATTTTACAATGATAATAATATTTTTACCGGGTAGTTTCCATCAGTAATGCTATTATTTTTACCGTTTGCAGGCCTGACTATAAAACTGTGTCTGTACGAGGAGTCGGATCACTTGCCAGTGCACACAGAGGACAAAACCTTTTACAGTGAAGATGATTTTCGCGACTTCTTGTCTCGTCGTGGCTGGACTTGTTTGAGAGAGTTCAATGGTTACCGAAATATCGATAACATGGATGAGCTTTGCCCTGGATCTGTATACCGGGGTATCAATTGAGTGAAAACCTAGGTGTGGTTTTCAACATTTGCAAGTAAAGCTCATTTTGGATGAACACTGTCTGTGTATCTTCAGAAAGATTTAAGTGCATAGAAGTATAGGCATTTGGCATGATCTTGTTCAAATGTATACATTTTGCTGTAGGATGTTTTTTAAAACTGTGGAATGGTCTTTTGTACAAATTACTGAGGCTTTTAATGATGTCCATAATATTTACCTTGCACCTTAACTTGTATACATAATGTTTTGAATCCTTGGCTGATTTTTGCATTTCTTCAAGTTGAACACATTGAATTGGAGTGTAAAATTGTAGGTCAAAAGCCATGCTGTGTTTAGCATGTTGAATTGATCACGATTGTAAATGATTTAGAAATAAAAGACAAGTTGTCTATTAAAGCAACCCAAAAATTTACATATATTCTTGTGTCAAATATAGTCAACAATAGCTTTTGAGTTGGAGTTTTAGCTGGTTTCTTCGACTTTTGGCTATATAAAAGTTGGGTAGTTGAAAGTCTCTGTGAAAAAATGAAAAATCCTCTTACGTTTTCAGTTATTTAAATATAGAACATAATCCTTCACGAAGGTGGATCCGTGGCGCAATGGTAGCGCGTCTGACTCCAGATCAGAAGGTTGCGTGTTCGATTCACGTCGGGTTCAATACCCATCCACTTGTATTTCTTTTTTTTTTCTCCCTTTCTTCTACACCAGAGCTTCTGCAAGTGGGATTTCAATTCTTTTCCAAATTATGTGACAAAATTAACAAAAGCTCTTATTACATAGCACAACTAAAAAGTCGCACATAGTTTTCCTAATCTTTTTTGTGTTTCTCAACAAACAAAATCCCATCCCCGTATAAACATTCTTCCCCAAGATTGTACATTTCATATTATGGAATCCCAAACTCAAACAACTCAGAGCTAAGTGCTAACAAGCTCAAGATTTTCAGTTTTTACCTTTTAGAAATTGATACCGTTCAAGATCCACAAGTCGACAAGAAATTTCAACATTTACACAAAATTGCATCCATTAAATCTCTAATGTTCCAAAATATGAAACTGAGAATTTGCAAAGATGGTATCTTCTTCTACGATATGCAACAACGCTAAACACGACCGAATATTAAAATAGACAACATCTTAACTTCTTTATTATTCATATTGTCCACAACTGCACAATTTACATCACTTGAATTACACGAAATGTGAATCAAATGATTCATTAAATCTACTCAAGTCATAGACAAGAGCGAGAGAGAAAATGCTGCACAATTTCTCATTCGTCCCACTCATCATTCCTGTATGATACCAGAGTGTCAACCTTGTGTATCTGCACGGTAAGACAAAACTCAGATTTAGATTGCATAAAGGTACTAAATCTAACTAGAACAAGAATTAGCCTGCCAGTTTACCTTGGTATCAAAAGAATGCAATTTAACCATCTGTGGGTTTGAAATCAGTTTGGGGTCACTCTCAATCCAAGTAAATGGGGCTGCAACATCTTTGTCAGTGTACACTAAAACATCAAACACACCTACAGTTGTACATGAAAGAATTCATAACAAATGACAATATCAGAAAGTCACATCTTAAGAAGGACAAACATGACAAGCACAATCTGGACAAAACTAAACTTAAGGAACGAAATATGCATAATATAGTAATAAAATATAGAACTAATTCATCATCCATAAAGCTCAGAGAACGTTTTCTTACATTATTTTTTGCTTTTTTTACATAAATGTTTTAATAATTAAAGTTTATATCCTAAATTTTAAAAATGAGGCTTTCATGTCCTTATAAATGTATCAAGAATGTGGTGTATTGGACTAGGCTGTCTAGGCATGTTGGGGAAGCGTTCTTCTAGTGTAAAAGAAATTAAAACAAACCATATGGAGTATTGGATATGTGTTAGACACGAAAACACCACTCTAATAGTAGTGTGCGTGCTTCGTAGGTCACCCAGTTTCAAATTGAAAACTTACAGGGTTCATCAAGGCATGGCAAGTATGTGATGCTGGAAGCTATCTGTCTCATAATTGCTTGAATTTCCCTCATTATGTCTTTATCACTCTTCTCCCTTGAAACTCTGAAAATCAAAATCCAATTCAATAGAAATTCAAACCACAAACATTTCCCTGTCAAAAGAAATTATTCAGAATCAGAAGCATAGATTAAATTAGATTACCCCTTATCAACGACCTCCCTATCAGTTTCAATACTGAAATTCCACCTCTCTAAAACTTCGCCAGTGGCCTTGCTCATGATCACCAATACTACCCTCTGCAGTTTCCCAGTTTCAAGCCATTCTTCACAAAATTCATACACAATTAATTTAATTAATAATCCATTAAATCCCATTTCAAGAAAGCTCATATAATATAGAAATAAATAATTATAGAAAGGAGTTGGGAATTACCAGATAGCTGTGCAGTTAATTTTGAAATGAAGGATTTAACACCTTCATCTTGAGTGAGAAGCATGGGAAGCCCATTTTTCTTGACCTTTGCAAAACTTTCTTCTGGATAAATTCCACGATTGTACAGAATACTAAAAATATTACCCAACCACCCAATGAAAAATTACCCAATACCCAATTATTCCGTCAAAATAAAGTTAAAAA